ATTTCATCAAAGAATTAAACAGATAGCGCATTCCATATTTTTGAATGAAATTCATTCATCCACATGACCACAGAGCACCCTAACCATAAACATCTAACTCCCATTAGAAACAGTGGGCTCTTAAAAAACATTTTGGGTCATTTTAAGGGTTCAAATGTATGGACAGTTTGGCGTCATTAGAGCGAATTTGTCTTTGATTTTTGGTTTACAAGCTGAGTAACCTGAAGAAGACACTGAACAATATTAATGCATTATGTTCCATAAACTATCCATTCATAAAAGCTGTTTTCTGATTAGCTAGAACTAATTGGACTCATCCCTATACTATACTAACTCCGTAAAATAATGATCTATCAGATAAAATTTTTATGCAACTGATTTAAAGTTTGTTTTCTCATTAAATCAAATTAATCATAGTGTAATGAACGAAAAATCAGGTGAAAAGCCATACAGTGGCTTTGTACAATATGAAAAGAATACATTAAATTCATCATCTGCACAGCTTCCTTGAATTGTGCTTTACATACTCCATCATTCTTTTAATCATGTTGCTATTCCGATTGCTATGTTCTTTTTTCTCTCCTCTCTATTTTAATCTTCTACGAGTAATCTTCATTTCAAATTCCTGCTACATACTACTTGTGTCTGTCCGCATAAGTAGTACACACCACAATAGGACCTATAATTAAAACATGACCTTCGAAATACATAAGTTGTGCATTGTAATATTTTCAGCCTTTTTAATATTGCAGTGTACAGTACATCAATACTCTCAGATATTAAAAAAGTCACTTAATATAAACTAAATATAATAGTTTTTTTTAAAAGTCAATAAACTGAAACCCCACTGTCTACACATGAAACCAGTAAACTATGATTAAAATTCGATACTTCTTTTACGCTCTTCTGTTTCCAGGTATAAGTCCAGGATGTCGAGATATGTATTTACATGATTATGATTGCCAATGGGTTGATATAACTGACATTGCTCCAGGGCAGTACACATTCCAAGTATGTTTATTTGAATTTAGTTAAAACTTTATGTAATTGTTCATACTGACTATATTAAATATAAAAATAGCCTGTCCAATAAATTCAAACTGAGGTCATCAAAATATTGCTTCTGAAAAATTCAAAATAAAACCAATCTTAACCCCATTAAAATGCTGTGATGTTGCACTTGTCCTATCTCTGTCGTTAAAAACAGTTATTGGAATCTTAATAAGCAAAGTTATCTGGGTGCATCATAGTCTGCGATTTCCTTGACCTCACAATCTTTCCAACTTTCAGCAAAAGACTCAATCAATGTACCCCCGAGTAATTTACAGTTTCTCCTAAGTTCAACTCAAATGTTACAAAACAACTTCATGCAGATACTCTTGAATTAAACCCATTGCTGTTCACTTCATGGATTTCAAGGCTTACTTGTGAAATAAACCACTTGAGATGACAGAACTTATCCAAATGGCTTAACAGAAAATAAAATTTTAGATCAATAACTCGTGACTAAAATAGCGAATTCCTTAATAGAATTCAGTGCTTCATCAGTATTTTAATAACTCTTAAGAATGAAATGAAAATTACATTTGCACCACACAGTGCCCAACAATTTTGAAGACTCGTTACATATGCAATAAAGAGTATTAGAATTAGAATTCAGGGAAGAATCCGTCTACTCCATATTTTCGATACATGCTCCTACGTTCTACGAATAACGGTACTTGGAAGCTTATATCGTCATTGAAAGTCTACATAAATCATACCATCATCCATTCATTGTAGTTTTAGAATGTTGCAAGCTGCGTTGTCCTTTGATATACCTTGGCTCAGCGGAACGCCAAGTCATGGGAACATCCATCATAATTGTCGTTGATTCGTGTTTTGTCGTACCATAACCTCAGTGCGTAACATCACTAAGCGTTCTTGAAAAATAACTCAATCTACTCTTTGATCATATTTCCATTGTTTTTCTATAACTGGTGCCAAAGTACGTAGTCACTAATAAATTGATAACAAATACAGTCGAAACATTTTCAAACACATTATTTGACAGCTTACTGCTTTCGTGGTTATTTTGCTTTCAACTACAATGAAGCCCTTAGATTTTAGTAAGGTATAATATAATTATAAATTTTATCATCTAATATCACACCTGCATTACTCTTTCCTAGGTTTCATTTAATCCTGACTTCTTGGTGCCGGAATCCAATTTCTTTAACAACGCATTGACATGTCAAATGACACATTTGGGATATACTGCTGTTTTAAGACTATGTCGATTTATTCACTTAAATGATTTATTTTGAATCCTCTAATCGTTCAAGTAACAATTTTTTTCCAATTCAGTTATTTAACATGTTGGTATTACTTGTAAATCGTCGATGATAATAAATAAACAACCTTCACTATTTCACTTGCAAATCATACGCACCCGTAATTGTTCTTCAATACATGTACAAATTGTGGAAAAGTTTTTAGGTACAAACTGTGACCCATATCAACAAAATTTTGAAATGTAGCAAATGACATGAAGGCCTACATAAAATAGACGATTTTGGTCAATATTGAAGTTGAATGCGTAAACCAACAGATGCTAACTCAGTGATCTAAAGATAAACAACTTTCACTTGGACTTGAAGAGCTGGGCTCGGTTACTCACGGCGACGAGTCCCATGCCGCATCGAAACAGCTGTTTATTTTATTTTGGTTTTCAATGATTGTCTACGATCACTAAGTAGTATAAGCTACATAACAATGGACAGCTAAAATATTTAGTCACTACCAAAGCAAATGATCTACTATGTTCTAGCTGTACAAACTTGACGCCCGACACCACACCTTAGAAAATGCCTTCTCAGTTGACTGAAAAGCAGATACATTACTACTTGAAAAGGATTACCAATCAAAATGTTCAAAGCCACTGCGAACTATGTTTAAAATAACTACACTGGATTGTGATCTTAAAATGGATACTTTAATGTATTTATTTTCTACATTGGGTATTGTCAACGTTAGTATATTTATCGAACAAAGATGACAGAGAAAAAAGTGAACCACATTCTTTACAATAATTTAATACTTTTTACAACCAATGTATTTCACGTACTTAACATAGCTTAGCTTACAGCAGTAGTTCACTCTGAAAGTCATGAATGAGGGCAAACTGAAATGAAATAATGTTAATCAAGCGTTAACTTAAGATAGTGGTTGGAAGTTCGGAATGAACTAAAATGAAAATTACTGAACAATGTTGTATTTTGAAATAGGTTTTACAATAAGGAAGAACAAAAATGATCTAGCAGACGATATTGTAGAATATGAAAATAAAAATGACATCTAAAGCATTCAGTCCATCTGATGAATTCCGATAGAGTAATAAGAAGACGGAGATTATCAGATGACATCGACCGTTATTAAGAACAATGTCAACCATATTGATATGTTTAAAATATCATATTAACTAATTTGCAACAAAATTCTATGGGTTGAAAGATATTACCAAGACATCAATTTACAAAAATAATACTAAGACATGCACAACCATGATAATTTAGGCAGTTCATTATAACTTTTCAGCGTTATAATTTACGACGCTTGGTGTAAATTAAGTTGGTTTGAACAATGAAAGCTGAGAACCAATTAAAGACTAGGCTGAATGATTTCAAAACTAAGCGAGTCATATGCGAAGATGGACAGTGGCATTATATGCAAATAGGGCGGAACGCACGTCCTGTATCCCACTGCTAACCACTGTTCATCTTTATTTATAATGCTTGTGGATTCAGGCTATATCGAAGAAATACGCACAGTATGCACATATGCCAATAAGAGACTGATCAATTTCGGTCCTAAACATCAATTGAAAGATTCGAGCAAACAATATAAAGTGAATTTAAAGTGAGCCATAGTTTATCTTTTTATCATGTAATTACTAGGAGCTTGGATTTCTATATTTTTATATCCACCTAGTTATAAACTTTCGTTTGACTCGTAAACTGTTGTACTACGTGTCAGTCCAGATCTATCTATGATTTCCCCATCCCTCTGTTTTGTATTACGGATAACTAAGTTGACCATACACTTTAATTCTTAATTTGTTAGTTACACAGTCTGTTGTTTGAGAAATTATTATTGCATGAATTTCGAGTCAAAAGAGGATAATTATGCTTGCTATCTTCGTCTTTTGATTAGACGCTGAATCAGATATCGAGGACTAATGGGCGCTAGGATCTCGGGGTAGTTGTTTAGTAATCACTGTATCCTTGGCAAAGTAGATTACTGGTCTGAGAGGCAGTGTAGGTGAATAAGCCGATAATCGGACTAGAGAACACAACCGCTCCCATGATAAACGGCACGGTCACATGGTCCCCAATACAGTTCAAGCACTTGTTATTTTCGAAAATAAAGCACATTCTAAGCTTAACCAATGTTTATAAAATCCGTCAACTAAACCAAGAATGACGATGACTAGAACAAGCACATCTGTCATCTGAACAATGCCTGACGAAATATTAACAGTCTGGATAGGTATATTAATTTACCCAATAGTCCCAATGGAACTACAATTAAATAATCCAAACACAGATAATGATCAATCGCTGAAAGGATATAGCTAGAAGAAACACTATATTTGCGTAATACTAATAACTATTATTTTTTTTATTTTAGTGAATACTCTTATAATCATTTTGTTTACAAAACAACCGCTATTTATATTTTAAACAACCCTTCTAATATCTATATAAATCAGAAGCTGAGGTGAAAATTCCGGATCGAAATTACAAGTAAGTAATAAGAAACAAAGACAAGGCCAAAAACTTTAACGTAATTAGACGATAGGAAGGAAAGAAATTTAATTCCCAAAAAATATATACCAATAGATCTAGGAACGAAAGCAGGAATTATATCGATATGTATATACTGTTATATATATATATATATATATATATATATATATATATATATATATATATATATATATATATATAAGAAAAAAATATTTAAAGATTGGTAGGTTTATTTGAATTTCCATTTCTGAAAAAAGAATCCAAAGTTGAAGATTGTAAAGATGGTAAACGATTTTTGCCAGATATCTTTGAATGTGAAGAGTGTTGCTTACTGTTAAGATTGTTATTTGATAGTTTTGAGATCTGTCAAATAAATAAATAAATGTTAAAATAGTACATTTATCATTAAATTATTAATGCCTGCTTGTATACAGTAAAAAACAAAACAATAATAACAACAACAACTAAGTAGATGAACAAAAATTATGCCATTGGATACCATGAGACTGACTATGTTGATTCAATAAAAAAGTGTAAGTTTTCACTTTTAAATTTTATTGAAATTTGTTGGTTACAGTAAATAATTACATTACATTTTAACAATTTAATTATATGAAGCTTACATTGTTGTGTTGAACAGTTGTAGCTCAAAATTGAATGTAGCTATTGTCTATAATAAAACTACGTTAAAAATGTTCAACGGAATGATGAAACTTCATTATCATAATAAAATTGAGTTTTAGTTTCAATCATAAATTTTCACTAACAGATTCATGAAATATGTATCATCAATATTTATTTATTTATTTAAACACATAAACACTGCTACAAGGAGGCGCCAAATAAATCATTCGATTTGCGTGAGGGCTGTGATACTGCCCGGGTGCCCAGACCGAAGCAGGTGGTTTTCTTAGAGGGCCACACCCCGAGCCTTTGACCTTCAGGTTTGACCCACAAGGCAGTTTATCATCTTGAGAAGATGCAGTTCCATGGAAGCCAGTGACCAACGATTGGTTCATACCCATTTGTTTCCGCAGGATACTGGAGCCCATGTGCACCATTGGTTCGGAATCCCGTTAAAGCGCCGGACATTCGCTTTTCATTCATGAAATATGTATCATCAATATGCCGAATAACTAATTTTGTTGCACACAATTGATTTTCTTAAATTTTGCTACTTTTCATATAATATAAAACATTTGTCATAAAGTATGCTTCAATTAAATGCTTTTTTTATATAGACAGCATTACTATTATTAAATTCTTCTATGGAAAAGAATTTTCCACTATACCTATAGCCACTTTTTTTTAATTCAGTGAATGTCCTTTATTCGCCAGTTTCAATAGAATTAGTGTATATATACCAATCACATCATCAATATGTCAAAGAATATCAAACAGTGAATCTTATTGTTTACTAATGCGATGATAGAAATTATGATTCATTAGAATACATTTATATGATTGCGGGTTGCACACCCTGTCAAATTCACCATTTTCATGTTTTTTCTAGAAATGTGAAAAGGCAGATATCTAATCCTCGGACAAAATCGGCGGATAAAAAGGCCCATATGGTGGGGAAAATCTCTCTTTCTACAAATAATTAGTGAACTTAGACTACTAATTTAGATTAACTTTAGCTCTGACTTGGACGAATTTACTTCGTGTAGACATTTAAGTGCAGTTGTTGGAAAGTAGCATTTTCGAAGACAAAATGTTATATTTCAATCTATGACGTAGTACTCCTTCAGTTAAAAAAACTTACGCTATTGTGTTTTAAATCTAAAATGCTTGCGTTCGGTAGTGCAACATCGGAATTATGAGGATTTTGTACACTCGAACTTCGGTTACTGATTTTAGAGAGGCGATTACAAGTAGTTTTTCCATTGGCAAACTTGAAGTATGAGATGCAACTTTATGCGAATTTAGAAAACTTGGAGATGACTCGGTCGAAGAGGAGCTATCTTGCAACTCAGCTTCCCACTTGTTAAGGTCAGGTGTCAGAGAATCTGAAGAATTGGACTGTTTATTATTTGACTCAATCGATGAAGAATTTCCCCACAGTTGACAGGGTTTCTTGTATTGAGAATATTTGAAACTTTAAAAGAAAGAACAAGGTGATTTATAGAAAATTATTTATTCTGAATAATAAGTACGCAAAATATTTTTCACTAATCAAAACGTTTATTGAACGTACTCTAATGAGAGTCGACAGCCAGACTGCATATTACTGCTGAAAACAATGGAAGAACAGTCTTTACGTTCATCATTTAACATTACAGAAATATCGAAATTATTATCAACTTTCTCTTTTGATTTGCATAAATATGATTCGGAGGCTATTCGAAACGGATTTGAATTAGCCTTGTAAAATACTGGGCTACGAGAAGTTTGAGAACGACCAAGATCATCATTATCATCATTCAGCGAATTATTGATGGCATCGTCTATAGCTTTTGGAACATCACTTTTCTCTTGAATTGCAAAGTAACCAGAAGCAGAAACAATGGAAGATGAAAGATGATTTCGGTCTCTAAGTTTAGGTGTAACTGGAAATTCTTCCGATTGACCGTAAACTTGCAAAACATCTATAAAAAAATATATGTATTAGAAAAAGATATCTATTAAATTAAATTAACAACAACGAGAACACTTTGATATAGTGAACAAAAAACGAACCGGAAGTGTCATCTACTGTAGAGTTATTGAGTCCAAGACATGGGCGCTTAGGAGAATCCTGATGTTCGATTTGTGGAACAGACATACTGTTTCTTAGGTTTTTAAGACTTTGTTGAATAGCTGCAGGAACCAGTATTCGACGTCCACAAGTTGACTGTGTCTTCTTCAATTCCAATTTCTTTATAGGTGATTTCTCAACCGGGTCTTTATTTTCTTTCCCTGTAGAAGAAAAGTCTGAATCAATTGACGAGAATTCTGAAACCGGTTCAATGCAACCATTCTGAGAACGACGAAGCCAAACTACATAAAATGTACAAAAAATGAGACATGAGTAAAAAATAATTTCAAATGACTAAATTAGTATGGTATGTGCATTTTTAATCTGAATGTACCATAGACTTAAATTATTCAAAATACAAACATTATTCAAGTGATAGGTAGGACTATTGTTTATGCTACTTATGTCTGTCGACATAAGTAGTATGTAACACCGATTGGAAGTGGAAAACCTGGCACCATAAGGCTATGAAGGTTGATTTGGAGCAAACGGAAACGGAAAGAAATTGTAGGTAGGAATAATCTTGCAGGATGTGAAAAACAAATGGAAATTCGCAAGTGAAGTATTCAATGTATGGCTCTCATAATTTACTAAGATACAGTTGGTCGTCCTCACCTGTGTTCTAGTTCATTGAAGAACAATCACTAATTGTCCAGTTATGTAGGAACGAGTAGGCAATTCTCACAAACGTCTAAGTCTACAAAGACTATCTTGTTGACTCTACATTTCATAGTACCCTTTATCATTTTGAAAAGAGCGACAACAAGAATTCTGGCAGATTAACATGAATTCACTTTATGTCGTTTGGTTCTCGTCAGCTACCTACAATCTATGGTATTTAAAACACAATTATGAAATGGGTTTAAATTACTTACATGAAAGACTTGACTCTACATCTCATGGTTTATTTTTCTTCATCTTAATTTGACTAGAGATTTGGTTCACTATAACACTTATCTTTTAGCTGCTATTATTAAAAATTCAGTATTTTATGCTGTTAGATTTATTAAATTGGGTAGCAGTGTGAGTTTGGTCTTAATTTAGTTGTTATTCAGTCTAAGAAAAACCTACAGAAAAGGCACCATTTGAAATACAGCGCTGCGATATTTTATCATTTAAGATTCATGCTCATATATATATATATATATATATATATATTAAATATATATATTATATATATATATATATATATATATATATATATATATATATATATATATTCGTAACTCACGTTTGAAAACAAGTATCTATAAGAATCAAGTAGAACATTCCATAATGAAATCGGTCACCAAAATGAAAATCCATCAGCTTTTTTATATATTCAGCATCAAGGTAAGTAGTAGTTAAGATAGTAGTACGTGAAGAAATAGTATGTTTTAAGCCAACATGAGTGTTCTAGTTTCTCCCTAATAATGATTCAACACAAGATTAAGGTAATTAGTAATACTTATTGCTTAGTCACGCATGCAACATAAGTGTGGTATCTTTTACACTAAAATTTATAGATAGCTTTGATACTTATGTCTTTAATTTGCATTTGTATATCAACGATAAAATGTTGTTGTTATGTGGTAAGATTTATAGAGTGACATCTACTATAAAAATATAATGTTTATATAACATACTAATTACTTTGTTTTCAAATCTACTTACAATACAACAACTGAAGACAAACATCGTTTTAGTCAATTTGATCGAGATTGTGACTAATTGTTAAAAAAGCAACTGTATTTCTGTACACAACAAAAAAAGTAAAATCAATAAAAATAAATCACGTACATTTCTGAATAGGATAACTTTTATCCCATATGCTTATTTTCAAACGATCGGGATTAGGTCGTAATCCTGATGATTGTACTTTTGTTTGAATAGTTGAATGTCCGATGATGGCTCCATTTACTTGCATTGAATTATTCTAAGTATAAGAAATTAAGTGTTCCACAAAAAAATGATGAGAGCGAATGTTAAAAACGGATTGAAAAAAAAACATCAAACTGACCTAATAAACTTGATTAGGTCGAGCATCTGCACGGAGACACCTCATACTAAACACCACAAATTAATTTCTATAAATAATTATTAGGACGAAATGGGTTACGCAAACTCAGTTTCCGAAACACTATTGATTGAATTTCCACCAGTATACCAAGCAAGTAAAAACTGTTTATTGATTCTCTCGCACAAGTGTCTTGAAATGTGTGAGTGGAAAGAACTATGTACTGGGCAAGGTTTGCTCATAAAATTTGAATAAATTCCTCAAGTCACAAGTTCAACATACATTTTGATTGCTTCTCAAAATGAGATAGGATAGTGTTTTGCAATTTTGTCGTAAACAGTATAAATTAAATTTTAGACCGAGTCAGGAAACACTTTGATGGTCAATATTAAACCTTATGGTGGCCCGAGATCTGATTCCGATTTGCTACAATATATTCTTGCCACAAACTTAATTCATCACACTAACATAACAATTTTTAATCACTCAAATTATTCACTTATGCAGTTTTCCTCAAATCAAGGTACACTAGCAAAAATAATGAGAAAATTTTCGTAACGTAAAGTAAGACACAATGACTTACTTTTGATGTACAAGGGTAGTAATTATCTATAATGGTATCATCAGAATAGCTGATATTTCCAAGAGCTCGATTGAACGCTTTCTGATTGTCTTTTAAAACCCTTAAATAAAAAGTGTTAATAGTTCACCAGTAAGTTAAATGTGAGAACTTGCTAAGGAGAATCCAGGTTGTCTAATAATTTGTCATCACATGTTAGTTCTTTCATAAAAATTAACCTCAACAAAATTTTCCTAATTCGAATTTTTGTAATGACGTTTGATACTATCTGATCGGCTGTTTTTACACTTAGTTAGTTAGCTTTGTCGTGTCTCAATGTCATCGACTGTTACTATATAAACACAGTTGTTTCATTTCAATTTGACTTGGTTGCGAATACGAAACTATCCTGAACGTCCCTTTTTTATCACCGTGGGTGAATTATTAACGTTGAGACGAGTTTCCACTCTATCGAGTCTACCCTAGGACACATTCGTGTTAGAACAAGCTCAATAGTTCGTAAATAGCCATTACCGTAGACAAAACTGAAAACCCAGTAGAAATTGTATTTCTAGATACAGTAGAACTTGATCAGAAAAATCAGATTAGTTCGAAACTAAATATCACAACCACCAAAATTTTAAGTCTCACATCAATAAATGGTTTGAGTAATTACTTATTTTACAGGTAATATATGTAATTAACGAACGTATCAATCCATTTACCTTGATAGTTTTAATGACATTAGTGAATTAGTGGAGGGTAAAGTCTATGCTCCATTGGGAGTAACAGGCGTAAGTAAGTAAGTAAAGTCTCAACACATATAAAAATATGTACAACTTCAGCCTACTTCAGTTGACTATAGAGTGAAATATCCGATTGGCTATCGTATATCAGTAGACTTCTGAATATTACACGTAAAAATAAAGGTGTACGAATAGCTAGTACTCGATTACAGGTACTTTAGAACCACTGTTGATATTGTGTAGGGTCGGAAATCAATTGGTTAGATGGAGAACTTCAAGTAAAGGAAGTGAGGAGGATTTACGGGGCTTATCCCTAGCTAAAAACAACTAAACGTGTTGGTAAAAAAAACTAAAGATGAACAGAAAACGATATGAAGTTAACTCATAGAGCTACTGACTGTTAATCAAAGCCATGTACACAGTAGCATCCTTTTAGGTTGGAGTTGGTGAAATAATCATAATAACTGATAGGGAGCTTGAACGATAAAGCTCCAAATCTGTGGCAGCAACATTAACTCTATAGTTTCTAGGTTTTGAATATCGTGCTGTTCAATACCTCATATTCATTGATTTTATTTTTCTTTCTATTGTTAGTATTACTATCTATAATTCTGTTTCATCGATTAATGGACCCCCTTTTTCTGCCCTATTGTGAAGTGTGACAGCTTAACCTACGTACATTTGCCCCATTTCCTAAGTCATTTATGACTAACTGCTTGAACGACAAATATATCTAGCATAACTACGATTTATCTACATTAAGTAACATACTCTACCCATACGAAACTATGTAAACTATTTATTCTTTTCGTACTTGACCGAAATCCATACAAACGACAATTGTAAAAGGGGAAAAGGAACATTTCCTGAATAAAGTGGATGTATGTTTATGAAGCAATATTACCGAAGAGGAGAAAATTAATTGTTACAGAATGATGCTATATACCGAACATTACCCTTACTAAATATTGCAAATACTTGTGATACAATCTGGATATAGCCCTTTAATTTTCAAAATACTAATTCCTTACTCTTATTGGAGCAAATACAGATTTTATGTTGGAATCGTTTCAGGACATTTTTAGTGAATAATTCTATAATTTATACAGAAACTGAAATATTTTAAATAACACCGATGAAAATAGTTTGTACATGATAAGCAAGATATTACTTTACTATAAGCATTATATAGATGCTAATTTTCAGACAATCGATGTCATAGGCAGGTTTGTTGCACATTTTAGATTTGACTCTTTATCTCTACATCTTATCAAGTGTACTCCCTTGCCTTTAGGTAGAACTTCTACAGAATATACTGAATTTTTTTACTTCCTAATAAATAAATAAGAACAAACAGATGAGAACAAGTTAATTCATGGATCGCCATTGAATGACTCACAAATTCAAAAAATCACTAGTTGCTAAAAATGAATATGAAACTATTTCAACATACCGTCCTGCATAACTAAAGAGGTCAACTTCGTCCTCATTTGATCCTTTCAACTCATCTAAATTATGTAATTCCTCATCTATATCCTCAGGAGTAGGTTCACTGAACCGCTTCTGACATCTAGATGCGATATCAAAGATGACTTGAAGTCGAAACGTTCGCTCTGCACGTACAGCAGCATTAAGGAGTGATTCACTTATTTGGGAACTTTTGTTGTAATTAGCTGTTTTTACGTTCTGTCGTTTGTCACGAGTATTTTTAGTATTCACAACTTCTGTATCATCCTTCGCAAGAGCATTATTACTAAGTTTGGTATAAAACCCCAATTTCGACAACAGTTCTCTGAAATTTGTTATGCGGGTCTGACGTAATATCTACGAAATCCAAAAATTCAAAACTTTGTATGATTAAGTATTAATTATTTGTCTACGTTTTAAACAGATAGATAAACAATAAATAATATATTTGTAATATCCTCATAAGTACAAAAATTAGGTTTTCCGACGTTTCATCACTTAGTGTAGCCACATCTTCAGAGAATAAATAACAGACGTACTGATGAATTTCCTAAAAGTATTTCTGATAGTACAAATAGGATGAAACGCGCGTCCTAGACTCCTAAACTAGCTACTACATAACTTTGTTAAAAACTTTTGACTAAATGACAATATCGAAGCAATTCGCTCACAAGGCACATATGCCAGCAGAGATTGATTAGTTACAATCATTTACATCAACAACGGAGAACACAAAACCTTAAAAATAAAACTCAAATAACGCCGACACAAACTCCTTCTAGAAAAATCCCAAGTTTAAAAGTGCTTGGTTTGACAAACTATAACATATTAATCCATCCCAACAAGCGTATGATCAATCAATGTCAAAAATATTTTTTAAACCCGAATGATGTAGCCGAAAATGTGAGTGCTCAGCTTAAACTCCCGTATAATGAGTTAGGATTACGATACAAACTTTCACATCAAGACCAGGAAACCTGATGATCAAAAGACATTAACGAATTGGAAGCAGAAGCTGTATCTGGTTGCCGCTAGAAGCTTTTCCAGCTCGTCCAAGCCACTGACGACAGGAAATTCGCCGCCATCGAAACAACTGATGGAACGCCAATTAATGACATTCAAAGGCATCTCGAGAGAAGGGCATAATTCTTCGAGGGAAAATCCAAACATTCTGTTGCCCTAACAACACCGACTATGTTGTCCTTTACTTCCTTCTCAGTGACTAAATATTCACCTAATAAAGCCAACGTTCGTCGGGAACTTCAACTTCTGAAACGCAATAGATCACTAGGTTCAGGTAAACTACCACAAGCTCTTTTTGAAAATGGCATTGAACTTCTTACGAGGGAACTGAGTTGTTTGAAAAGGTTTGCAAAAGAGTACTACAGAATCTTGAAATGGGAAGACCATCGTCCCTGCTTTCGAAAAAGGTTCTATTTAATATATCGGAGGATAATTCTACTTCCGATAGCACATAAGCTATTAGCTTCGGTCAGACTCTGAACATTGTTCAGGGCTGATGAGGGACTGACTCGCAATGACCAGGCTCGTTTTCATTTACATTGTGAATGTATTGATCACATATTTACACTGCGCCAACTGTTGCGCGTTAGTGGGACATAGATGAGATTAAAGCATGTTTCGAGCACGATTGTGTTGCTGAACGGTGAATGACTACTTCTTATCTAATCAGAGCTAGTCGATGCTAGGAAAAGACTCTAAAATCTTATGTAAAAGCTATAAATATATTAACGTTTTTCTTGTTGTGCTTCTTATTTCTTTTACCATTGTTATTTGGAATATAATTTATTTCCTGTTCAACTCTGTTCTGATTTAAAGACTTGTCGAGTGAGTTGGTGTCCAAGAGTACTAAGCAATAGGAATAGCTGGGTCGTAATAAGACAAAATCATAACAGTGGCGGTAATCTCACACTGATTGCAAGCCAACAACTGCTATGTTTCTTTAAATCACGGCTGTTATCGATGGTGCTATGGGATTACCTGTTGAAGGATGAGCCTGGGAAGTTCCTAAAAATATTGAAGACTTGTAAAAAAAACACCTTAGGGAGGGTGAGGGTATACAAATACCTTGTTCAATCCTACCGTTACTCTTTAATTTTTCCTGAAAACAGCTCTGAAACAAATTCATAGTGATGTGGATGTTTCCCGGAAAATGACTTTTTGATCTTGAGAATTAAACACTGGTGGATAGGTGATACAACTCATAAAAAACATTAAATTCATTAAATATAGTTAACCAGACAACATGAATGCCAGTCAGAAAGGGAATTACAAGAGCAGCGAAATCAAAAATGTTTATAATGATGTAAACAAGAATGGAAAACTAACAAAAATAACTCGATACTTGTGAACATCATAGCAGATCCTTAAGTTTCTCTCAGTTTATAAAATATAATCGTTTAGGAAACTACTTACTTTAGCAGCAGTGTTTAATCCTATGCCAGGAATTCCACTAAAATAGTCACAGCCAGCCATAATGCCCATAAACCTAAATTTTGATTCGGTGAATTGACTAGCAGGAATTCCACAGCATTCACATAAACCAGATGCGGCTGCTACAAGAACCCCTGATCCCGATAAATCAAGTTTGAATACAACCTTTAAACAATTTTTAGGAATAATATAGGCAGCGAAGAAATTAAACTTATTAGATATTTCAAATGGAAATAAAGGAACTATGGATAAAAACGGGATATTGTGCTAACTGTTCCAATTATCCTGAAAGAAATATGTCCCAGCCTCTTCAGTCGGTGCAAATCCACAACCTAGACAACTAATCTTTTATTAGTTATTTAAAATTTTCTTAGCACCAGTGGTTCCATTGAACGAAAAAAACCTTTGTGGAAAATTATGGTAGATTAGATGCTATTTAAATATTTCGTCTCAAATAGTCGTGTTTTATACCCCTCACAAGAATATATGGAACTTCTAAGAGGAATTTGTTACACTTGTGAGTAAACTACTTCACGATTTTATAACACTTGTTTGGATGACAAACTTTTATCATGCAATAATCTACAATGTTTGACGTGAAACAACAGACAAGTGACATAGTCAATATAATTGACGATTATGTTTGAACCACCGAGAAATCAGACTTCACCGCAGATAGTTTGCCATAAGCCAAAAAGTGGCGACTGATAGAAAGAGAACTCTTCAACAACCAATCGTTAAGCACTGAATTTTCTCCCTTCTAGTAACAACCGCACTCAGAAGACTGCTTGCTTTTAAAATGACGTAAATGATGTTGCTGAGGTACAATCCAACTAAGATTGAAAAGCATCTAGTAGCTTATGGTATGTTACTTGCCAAGTTAAGGAGTTATTGCAATGTTAAAATAATGAGATCCAAAATGTGTTTTTGCTGAATATCCATTCAATTTATTATCTAAAGAAACTTAGGGGTGGTTGCTTGATAACTTGATGGTTTATTACTAGTTTTTAATATCAAGTGTGCATTTGAAAGCACTTACCTGTCTACATCCAAATAATAATAAATCAGAATCTTCAGTGATGACAAAGTCGGCATAACCCGTCCGATTAAGATACGCTAGTTGAGCATCTGCTTCATATGGTGCGATAACACAATCAACACCCATGTTACGAGCAGCCTTATAAGATAAGTGAGAATAAAATCGAAAATCTAACCAGTGAATAATCAAGTTATGTTGTAAGCAAATACGACTATTAAATATATGACTAAAAACAACATGTGAGAATAACCACGTGGGTCATTATAGTGGTGCAAAAAAGTGTTAGTTAACAATTTAAACAAGTTAACTGAGGCTAAAATAACCTTCAAGTCAAATAAATGTGCAATAATTAAGACGAAAATTACGCATTAATACTAAATACTGACATAGTTAATAAGATATTTTGATAATTTCAAATTCAAAACCCTAAATTTTCGAAAGTACTATTATATGGGTCGGTAAAACTGAAGATTATACGAAACTACCGATCTTGACTTAGATCACCTTTTTGACATCAAACTATGGCTGTACTCCTTGACTTTAAGGCAGCATTCGACTCTATTGATCGAGAGGTTATGTGGTAGTGTCTATAATTTAAAGAATTACGTTGAACTTGTACAGTCTTTTTCAGACACTAGTGGTCAAGTTAGGGCTTACAGACAACTGTTACCAGAATTATTACCGTCAATTGGATTCCGTTACGGTTGTCCATTTTCTGCATTCTTATTTGACATTGTCATAGACGTCTTAATGCCTCACTTTTTAGAGGATGACCTGTTCCCAGGGTGTTCATTTGTTGATTTAGATTACGCAGACGATACATTTCGGTTTGGTGGAAACGCTGACAAAACGCAGTTCTTTACCCACTTTAAGCAATACTGCAACCATGCATGGGGTACGGTGATATAGATTTAAATAGGAAATTTTGCTTTATGATAGGTCTGCGTCAGCGCCTGAATTGAGTGCGTCGATTACTTCACTTATTTTGGGACTCATATCAGTCTGAATGGGTTGGTGCTAGACAAAATATTGGAACGAATTCAGAAGGTTTGGTTGGTGTTTGTCAATTTCCTTTGCTTGTGATGCAGGAGAGATATACCTTTGACAACCAAAACACGAATTTACTGCGTAGCACTTCGCTCCTTTCCACTTTACGAGTATGAAACGTAGCCATTAAGAATACAGTATATTTGTAGGTTACCATTATTCGATCATACGTATCTTCGAAGCATCGTTTGTTTTCAGGGTACCCCGAGTGAGCAACGCTAATTTTAGGCATAAGGCACTAGATAAATATGCCAAATCGATCGATGAAGTGGTGAGTCTTCATCAAATGAGCTGGTTAGAACAGATGTTACGTATGCCCAACTACCGCGTATTTGGTATAGGACTACGTCGAAAGCTAGAGCCTGGCAAAACAAGACGTGGGAACAGTCAATTAAATCAACAACCGGAGTGAAACAGGTTAATAGATAAAGGCTACCTGGTTGAGGTCCGCTTGATTGTTGTAGTTAATGAGTAGACTTTGAGTAGAATGACTAGGAATCGCTCGCTATGCCCGATGTACATCCATTTTTTGTCCAATTTAAAGCTTTGAAATCTCTTCATACTTTTCTTTTTCTGAACCTACTCTTTTCTACCACTAATGATATTGTTACTCCCTTTACCACTGCCATGTATCTGATATAACTTCACCTCGCTTTCCTGGTGCGGTATGTGGACTTGAACCAACGCACTCGTGTGCCACGTTTTACGCTGGATATGAGTTATTAACTGAGAACGCGCGGCAATCTTGTATCAATATCTAAATAATGATCAGCCCGCTGATAGATCTTTTCCTATAGTTCCACATAGAAATAATCAACAATGAGTTCAGCACAAAAGTTTCAAAAACAAAATCGAACAAGCTCAAAGAGAAGTCTCATTACTCTTGCAAAGTGGGCAGCGACTGGAACCTCCCACATGAGTAGGCAATATCCGTAACGTCGATCAGCAATTTTGAGGAACTGGACCTTTACAGAGATTTTTGAGGATTAACCTAGTTTAACCAATCTACTAGATTTATTACTAAAACGTGAAACATTTTAAGCATAAAGCGATGATTCTTAGTCATAATTACCGTTAGAGTTAGAAAACTCTACTATAAGCCACAAATTTTTCTTTCAAAGTACGTATAAATAGTACGATTCCAATCGTCTGTTTTATATTCAAAACTGAAAACAGCTATATATATCAGTAAGTCGTAACAGTAATCCTTTCCAATAAACAATCCAATTACTAACCACGTAAACCCGCTTTTTAACTTGACTTCAAATCTCATACAGAATCTAAGTTTGCCCATAGTAATCAGATATGCATTTAAATGATTTAAATAGCACAAAGGAAACACTAATAATACTCACTCGAAGAACCTCGTATGCCATTTCGGAAGTGACGAACACCGACCTTTCAAAGCACTCTTGCGCAGCTGCCTTATCTCCCTTCATAAGATATTCTGCAGCTTTTTTTCGATTTAACTCTTTGGTCCTAAAACATTAAGCACAGTAAATGGTGTTACTCTCGACGTTTTGAATCCGTTTCGGCCTTGGATGGCAAATCTGAGCCGTCAAATACAAGGATTGGTTTAACATTGCATGACTTCATGAGGTTGATGTACTTAACAACATACCGGACGTATCTGAAGTGGCATCGTAGCTAAATATGATACTTACTGGTCAGTTGGAATCCCAAGTGCTAGATCGGAAGCGCATGCATATGAAGATCGATGGATCCAACAGTAAACATCCACAGCAGCAACATAACCACTAAAGTCGGCTAGATTAATAGGAACTGATGCATTTTTTAAGAATGGAAGAAGACCCTTGATACCCATGAAGGGTACAGTTTAGCTTTTGGTAGGTTTATGTCTGGCCTAAAGATGAAAGGCTCAGAGTACGTCAATCTGGAAATCGAGATTAGACCCCGATCCAACCTTAGAAATTGAGAAGACACAATCCGCGGCAGTTTATAAAGTATCGAAAAGTAGGACAGAAAAACAAATCATATTGAGTCTGATACTACTCCAATTAATATTAACAAACGTTTTTGTAAATTCTTTATTTTTTTTGTTCTAGCTATAGCGACAAGCAAAGATAGAAAATTTTGTAATAAACATAGAATAACATATCATTCCTTCCGCCGAATAGTTGAATGTTTGCCTAAATTTCAGCCGATTGAACTACTTTTCGCCTAAATATCCGCCGAACGATTGATTGCCAAAACACCTTAAGTGTATGCTACACGAACGCTCGTAGTCTTAGAAATAAAACGTCCGAGCTAAGTCTGATGGCGGAAGAATTATGTCCCGATATAATCGTTGTTACAGAAACTTGGTTCACAGTAGATATAGACTGTTCTCCGTTCATTGCAGGCTATATCTGTATTAGAAGTGATAGAGTTTCAAGTCGCAAAGGGGGAGGTATAATATTATACGTTGGGGATCACTTTCGTATACGTGTTGTAAGATTAAATCTAGAAGTGGGTTAGTGACTATAGGGGGAATATACCGTAGTCCGTTTTGTCTTGCTGACGACTTTATCCTAAGACACATCTGTTCTTGGAGTATGGCAGAATGTTGTCTCATCATTGGGGACTTCAACGCACCGCATATCAACTGGATAGAGCTTACAGCTCCAGGTGGTAGTTTCGATAGCGACCTTTTATCTACCGTTATTCAGTGTGCACTTGTACAATGTATCACAAAACCGACACATATTGATTTCAATCATGATCCGTCACTGCTGGACCTCGCCCTCACCCACCACTCTGAGGATGTCTTTGATATCCAGCACCTTCCCCCACTAGTGAACAGTGATCACGTTGTAATTCACTTTAAGTTTAGGACACATGGTATACAATTCGTATCTGCTCCACCCCGTCCCAATATCTGGCGAGCTAATATTCCGGAAATCAGAAACTGTGCTATCTCGACTGATTGGTCGGTCGACGCGGATGGATTGATCGAAGATGAATGGAATAAGTTTAAGGCTACATTCGAGTCCGTAACGTCGCCGTTTATCCCATGGTCAGCACGTAAGCTATCACATTGCCCTCCATGGATTAATAAGGAAACCCGGAAGCTGTTAAAGCGTAGGAAACATTTCTGGGACTTATTCTTGTTGACAGGTCATGCACCATTTAAGCGTGAGTACCAAAAATACCGTAATATCTGTAAGAAAACCATAGCGAAATCCCGTACCACTTACGAACGACAGTTAGTATATGATAGCCGTACTTGTCCGAAACGATTGTTTTCGTATGTTAAACGGCAAATGAAACGTAGTGATGGTATTCCCCCGTTACTGTTACACGAAAATTCAGAATTACTAGCTGAATCAGATCGAGCAAAAGCTGAGACTTTTTCAGACTATTTTAGCGAAGTCTTCTCTACGTTTATTGTAACAAATACTTGTCCCACTCACACCGAGATACCAACCATTGAATCTGTACAGGTGACTGAGGAAACTGTCCTTCCGTTGATAACTAACCTCAAACCTGGTAAGATACCGGGCCCTGACGGGTTACATCCACGGTTGCTGTCATCTCTTGCGGACATTATTTCAAAACCGCTTGCGACACTCTTCAACATGTCCCTCTCACTCGCTCAACTCCCTAGAGATTGGAAGGACGCTATAGTTAGTCCTATATTTAAGGACGGTCAGCGACAGATAGTATCTAACTACCGGCCTGTCAGTCTAACTAGCATAGTCGTTAAGTTACTCGAAAAGATAATTCGGGTTAGGTTGCTAAGCCACATAGATTTACACAATCTGTTAGCTCCTGAGCAACACGGATTTCGTAACAAGCGTTCATGCTTGACTAACTTGCTTATTGCGAGGGAGGATTGGACAGCAGCCCTAGATCACGGTCTGTCTGTCGACGTGATATTCATAGATTTTAGCAAAGCGTTTGACAAGGTTTCACACGTAGGTCTTATGCAGAAGCTCACGAGCTTCGGAATAATAGGTACTGTACATGAGTGGATAGGAAATTTCTTATGTGACCGCAGACAGAGAGTTAGGGTCAATGGAACGCTATCCGATTGGAAGCCGGTCAAAAGTGGTGTACCCCAAGGCACCATCTTAGGCCCTCTGCTCTTCCTTCTCTACGTTAATGAGTTACCGCTGTTACTTAGGTCGTCGACATTATTGTTTGCGGATGATGTAAAAATCTGGAGAACAATAAAAAGTGCGGCTGATCATGTGGATCTTCAAGCTGACTTAGACGATTTAGTTAGATGGGCTCGAGAGTGGGGCTTAGAAATCAATGCTAGGAAGAGTGTACTAATGCACATCGGTCACGGTAATAGTTACCGTTACACTATTGAGGGTAAACCTCTTCCATGCGTTCAAGAGCATAAGGACTTAGGAGTAATATTAAGTCATGATTTAAAAACAACTACGCATTGCAAAGCAGCCGCTGTCAAAGGTTTTCGTGCGTTATGGTCACTTCGCCGAGCGTTCAAATCTTTTGACGAGGAAACGTTTCGAATTTTATATCCCACATATGTAAGACCACATTTAGAGTACTGTATCCAAGCAGCTAGCCCGTGTCTGGTAAAGGATACTAACTCCCTTGAGCGTGTCCAGCGTGTGGGAACGAAATTAGTGAAGGGTCTTTCTAGACTCCCTTACGATGAGCGTTTAAAACGCCTAAATCTTTTCCCCTTGTCGTATCGTAGGACACGAGGTGACCTTATACTGGCATTTCGTATCTTTAATTATGATTTGGGTGTTAATATGTCTTATCTTTTTGCTCCCTCCAGCACTAATAATCTCCGAGGTCATAGCAAGAAGGTTCATAAACCACGATCTAATAAACTTAAAGTGGGATCCCGTTTTTCTCATCGAGTAGTCAATGATTGGAACGCCTTACCCGAACAAGTGGTATCAGCCCCATCAGTGAATACTTTCAAGGAAAAGCTGGACCTTCACTGGAAAGCAATGTGTCAGGATTAATACAGGTTCATCAACCTACTATCCTTATTACTGAAGACTGAATTGTCTACTTTTTGCCTACATATACGCTTAATTTTTTACTTTTCGCCTAAATACACAAAGAACTGCCTATTTCTGATCCATTGGCATAACCCTAAAGGTCTCCTATGTTCGCCTTTATTCCAAAAACAAACCGCACTAAAACTGCAAGCCACAGGAAAAGGGGTATATTTTTAATAATTTTATTGAAAATGAAAAGCGTATTATTGTACAACATTATAGCACAAGCTTGAGTATCAATCGTTTTGCATATCCACTGCAATTGCCAATTCATTGTTATTTGAAAATATCTGCAAAAGAAGGAACAGGTTATATTTTATTTATAAGGCATGTGTATTTAATCGCTAGTTCACTAACAATCAAACACACTCTCTCAACATTTCAATAGCTTTCCATGTAAGTAAAAAAGTAAGCTGTTTTACCAAAAAATGTTTATTAAAAATTAAGTAGAACATAAAAAGATTGTACGAACTTTTGCCTTTAGCCACGTATGTTCGGCAATTGAGAATTAAAGTAGTCTCCCGTGAATTCTGAGGTTAAAAAAACAAAAAGGTCACAACGATATCTCAATGACATGTCTTGGCACAGCCAAATGCTTAAGGCTAAACTTACGGTTATGTCCGTAAACACTGATGACTCTAACTATAGAGCCGTAAGGAAAGTTATCACTTTCAATTAGTACAAACCTGCCCTTCTTTCCTTTTTTACGCTTTATCACTTTTTCTCTGACATCGTGAAAATAACCTTATGTCGCAGAGCTTCCAATGTCTTTTTCGTTGACAGAGGATGCTAAAAATCGATTTGTTAATGCACCTGAAGTTTAAATAATAAATATGAGTCACTCCATATGCAGCCGTAAAACCGGCATTTCTGAAGTGCTCGTTTTGAAGAGGTGCCAAGTAACGTGAACTTACTGGCAACCTCAGGTGTCAAAAGGTGCGACAGAGCATAACTAATTGATAGTTTTGGGACCGTCACTTGATAACCTTGTAACCATTGCCATCTGTAACAGGAACAAATTAATAAATTAATGCTAATGACTTACAAATCTGTTCCTGTTTCTTTATGCTGCAAACCAGTGTCCAGCATCTGAAGTTTCTCTTCAGATGACAAGGAGAACCGCTGACTCGAGATTCCTCGATCGAACTGATGCGGTTGTTCTCGTTCATTGGACTTAAGTAGTAATTGCTTGACATTAATACTTAAGTCCGTAATGGCTGTGGGCATTTTCTGCAGCATTTTACTAAAGGCAGTCATAGTTGACGAAATGTTCTGCACCACTGTATGCAACCTGTCGAAGCTGAAAAAGTTCACTTGATGATTCAGGTGACTTACTGGTCCGATATAGCACCACCGACATGCTTAGATTCCGATGTTGATGGTGATGTCTCTAAATGGGACGAACTAATTCGTGGACATCTAAGTAGTAATGAAACTTACTTGGCAATTGGCGAGACGAATTTGTCAAACAACCGGAATTTTAGATATTGAACATGGCTATTACCAGCCTGCATTTCAGCCACGTCAATATCAAGTGATTTGTAAAGAAATTCTTCTTTACGCTTCATTGCACCTCTAGGAAATGTTAGTAAGATTATTGTACAGACCTCTTGGGCTTTTCTATGTTTTGTGGCAATGTGTTTTCATCCGTAGAAGTGTTTTTACGGCGAGATTCTAGTATTTGCAAAGAAACTAATAGATGTTCCGCAGACTGCAAAGAATCTATAGTGAATTATAGTTTCTATGTTTTTTACTTACCCAATTCATAAATTACATTACATTTCATAAATGACCAGTTGTTATCTGGTTTATCGCAGTTTCGCAGGTTCGTATCTAC